CTGGCCTGACTGGCACTGGGCCCCTGAAGACCAGGGTTTCTGGGAATGACTCTGAAATTATATCTCATTTCCCCTCAAGGAGGCGAGATAAATGTGGGGGAGGGGGGACTTTCTGCTGAACTCGGCCGTGCAGTTACTCTGCACCACCCATATCAGGACAGGGAGCTGGGCCGAGGGAGAGACTGTACCTGCCCCAGGGCGGCTCTCTTATGCCAAGCTCCCAAGAGCAAATGAGGTACAAAGCAGAGGGCTTTGAGGCAGAGCTCATCAGTTCCTTACTCACAGAAACCCTTGCTTGAGAGGCAGGCAGGCAGAATTTGGAGAGGCTAGAGGGGTGATGCTTGAGGTCAGAGGCAGGGCTTCCTGTGAGCTTGATGGTTCTGCAGGTGAGCAGAGGCTCTGCCCTCATGCTCAGTGAGGCCAGGGGTTACGTGCTTTGTTGGGGGGCTGCCCAGAATGCATCACAGAGGAGACGGCGCCTGAATTGGCCTTGGATGTTGATAGGCTTTTAAATTCTGAGACAATTAGTAGTTAACAGGTACCGTTTATTACACTAACTCTGTGTTGGGTTCCTAGTTCTGTTCACCGCAGGAAATGCTTGATGCTAGTGAGCTATCCGGGGCCCACAGTGTGGTGCTGACCTCAGGGCAGGGGAGCCAAGGCTGGGAGCCCAGTGGCCTGGGATCCGGTCCTGCCGTACAGTCTGGGACAGGCACTCCCTAGCTCGGGGCCTCCTTTCCCCGCATCTGTAAAGCGGATGAACAAAACGGACTGCAAGGATCCATCCGGCCCTGACCCTTTGTGGTTCTGCCAGCTGTTGCTGCCCCAGAGTAGAGAAGGTGGTGGCAGTTCCCGTGCCTGCAGCTGGCACCGAGCTGCATGAGTTACCAGCACAGAGGGAACCGTACCTCCTCGTCCCCCAGGCTGCACTATCGTAGCCACCTTTGGAGTCGTTGCTAGGGTCATTTGTAAATGCGATGGCAGTACTCTGATGACCACCATCTCGGGGACAAGGTGCCTCTGGAAGCATTCAGGTTGAGCTGACTCCAGCCTCATGGGAGCCCAGCTGTTGGTGGCTGATGTCCCCAGCTGCTCGCTCCCCATCAGCCTGTTTCCCAGGACAGTGGCTGCTTGGGTATGAGAGCCAGGCCTCTGCCCCAGACCCTCGTGGAGGACGGGCAAGGTATTCCGTCTCCCCTCCCTTCACCATGGAGACCGAGTGTCCGCTCCTCGGCAGGACCTGTATTGGGCAGTGAGGTCACTGGGAAGGCTCAGAGCTTAGCCTGCCCTTGGGGGCTGATCAGAGAGTCGCACAGAGCAGAGAGAAACGACACAGCCACCACACCAGGGCTGTGAGTGAGGGGAGGACGGGTGTTCAGAGACCCTTGATTGGCCTGGGGGCCAAGGAGCTTCCTGCCTCAAACTCATCATGGCTTGTTACTAATAAGTCTAGATTCTCAAAAAAGAAAACCCCTGGTGGCAAGTCCCTGGTGTGGGTGACAGCTCGGTGATTTCTAAAGCTTAATACTCTTGTCTAGTGGCCCAAGTTCAGGGCCACACCTGCTCCCCAGTGACAAATGTAGGGTTGGTAGTGATTAGCTGGGCTTCCCGTGAGTTGTGATTCTTTGGCTGGGAATGGAAATTCAGTCTCCCTGTCTCCATCACATGTAAGCTTGAGTTGGACAGGGGCCCTTGGGCTCTCCTGTCTCGGGACAAAAGCAGAGATCTGCCTGATTGGCATCAGTTTCCTGTGCCAGCCGTGGCACAGCCTGGAAGCGCAGCGTGGGCTGGTGGCGTGGGGAGACATGGGGAGCATAACCAAGGAGTCAGGCAGCTCCGCAGAACTGGTGGAGTTTGAGACAGGCGCAGGGTTTCACTTATGGGTAACAGGAGAAGCCAGAGGGTGGACAGGTCACTCGGGGGGTGGTCAGCCGGCAGCATGGGGTTGCAGGCCATGGACTGTGTCTAGGAGGCCATGGGAGACAAAGCTGGGGAGAAGCTGGAACACCAGCTTCTTGTGCATTTGTGGGCACCAAGGAGCCACATGAGCAAGGAGTGAGGAGTGTCCCTGGGCTCAGCCCATCATTGATGACAACCACTGATGACGGCCAGGGAGGCTGCTCAGGGGGTGCGACCCACTGGCCAAACTCTCATGAGGGCAGGAGTCTCTCAAAAGACGTGACAAGGGACTGAGTATGTTTCAGTGGGCTGAGACAAGGCCTCTACCAAAAGCTGCCTCTGAGGCGGGGCTGCCTGGCCTAGGCATGGCCCCCATGAGGAACCGTTCTTTCCCCAGATCTGCAGGAGGCCCCGGCCTTCAGAAGGCAGTGCCCCCATAGTTATTGAGTTCCTACCACAACGGCACTTCCCTGCCCGTGAGGCAGAGACTGCCGTGCCCATTCTACAGATAAGGCTCAAGAAGGGAAGCAGTTTCCTCCAAGACACGCCACTAGTAAGGAGGCCAGACTCATACCCACATCGGCCTGACTTTACAAGACTTTTCTCAGAAAGCTCTGTGCCAGGCTGGCTCACACCGGCTTGCGAGAGCCAGCTGCACCTTCAGTGGTATCTCCCTGGTAGCCTGGCTGGAGCATTTACACCACAGAAATGGGCAAATGCTACACATCAGCCCCCACCCAAGCCTCACCCCACCCCTGCCAGTTGCTAAACATTTATCAGCATACGGCTCTGCAGATCCAGCACGCATGCTGGTAGGGAATTCAGTGAGCTGCCCATGAACTTGCAGCTTCCTGTAAGGGGCCTGGCACTGAAGAACTTTGCTGGCTCAGCTGTTGATTAGTTGGTCATTCTTCAAGGCAGTCCCAACAATTCGATTTGAATAAGTAAGAAAATCAAGGTAAAGGCATATTTATTAAGAGTAGTCAAATCCAATGAAACCAGAAATCAGCGTGCTGAGTAAAAGGCAGGCTTCATGCAATTCCATTTTTTTGTTTTGTTTAACTTCAGACTTTTAAAAATCTTAATCATAGCTGCCGGGGTGTTTCTGCTTTTAAATAGATGTCGATTCTCAGTTGCCCCACGTGCGTGCTTAAAGCAGACGGGGTTAAGATTGAGCTAGCCCTCACCTTGAACGGGAGACCAGTGAGCCACCTGAGAGAGGGGGCCGCCTGTGTGTCCCCATCTGAGGGGTTCCTTCCCTCTGCCCAAGGCCAGCTCCTCACAGTGGGACGTGGAAGTCAGGTTCAGGGCGTGTGTGGGCAGACAGCAGCTCTCCCTTTCATCTGCCTTTAGCCTCTTGATGGACTTGTGACCTACAACCTCTCACTTGACCCCCGACCTCATAAATTCTAGAAGCTCCTCACAAATCACCAGGAAGATAAACATCCACTGGGGTCATCTGAAGGGGGTCCAAGCCGCTCCAGGCAGTCAACGAGGGGCGATCAAGTCTGCTGGGGTGGGGGGATGTCCCAGGAACTGTGGGTGACAGGAGAGGGGACCCTTGTTCTCCCCACCACACCAGTGCTCCCCAAATGTGTTTCAGCATAATTCTCGGCGAGCACTGACTGGGTGGGGTGTAGAGGCCAGGCCTCCGGAGGCTTGTGGTGAATGGTCCATAGTCAATGCCCTGCAAACCGTGGGCAGCCCAGCTCCACACTCAGTGAGGCCCCTGGGTCGGGAGGGGGAGTGGGCTTTAGTCCGAGGCCCTGGTTCCAGTCTCGGGCTGCCGTTCAGCACACCGTGGGCCTTTGGGGCAGGTGTCTCAATCATGGTTCCCCCATCTCTAAAGGGGGTGCTTGCCTTTATAGGGGATGAGAGGCCTCAGATCATTGTCACTGCCTGAAGTTTGGAGCCAAAGTGGAGACTCTGGGGGCCTAGGAGGAGAGCAGAATGAGTCAGCTGGCCTTGTGAGGGACAGAGCTTCTGAGTCTGGCTGGAGAACATGCTGAAAGGGCCTGCCAGGCAAAGCCACCACGGGCAAGGCTCCAGACACCAAGTCTGCTGCAGCTAGACAGTGCAGGGACTGTAGCAGGCAGTGGGGGCCCAGCCCTGGCACGTGTGGCACTCTCCCCCTTCTGAGGGCTCCCAAGCAGTCGGGAGGTCGATCACTGATGCCCTTTTAAGAGGCGTTGGAGAAAAGGTACCTGAGGCTCGCATGCATTTTTTGCTTGAAAAAGTAGCCTCTGCCAACCGGAAGGAATCTCATGCTAAGAACAGGAGCACAGTGACGTGTGTGCCCCTGAACCCAGAACGAACTCCGTGAAGGCCGAGGGGCGTGCGGGTGGAGCTGGAGGCCAGCGCCCGGTGGTGCAGGGCATGGCACTTGGGGGTGAGGGTTCTGTGGACCCAGGGAAGCACTGCAATGCCCAGGTACATGTAGAGACCCCCTCCGGCGTACAGTTCAGGACATGGCTTTGGGGCTGGCGAGCATGGGCCTCTGAGGTCCAGTGGATCTGACTTGTGCAGAAATGCAGTGAGAGGTAGCTAAGTGGGATTGATGGTCTGTGAGTGTGACAACTGGAGGCCTGCCAGGGCATGTGAGCTCAGGGCTGCAACCCACCCGCTCAGCCCCGACCCATCGATGCTCCTCTTGGGGCCGAGCCTGAAAGGAAAGTCTCCGCCTGCCCCACAGGAGAGTGCGTGGCCTCCCGGTGCAAACTAAAAAGTGCATGCGCCCCACACCTGCTTCAGTAGGAACTCTGTCTAAAGCCATGACCAAAAGCACTTCCATACCCCGTAATCTGACCTAGGGCAGGGGCGTCTCCTCCATGGGTCCCTCACTGCCATTCACTGTGCGGCTCTCAGAGCGAGGTCTGGCTCTAGACCTGGGCACTGTGTCCTTGGTTCCTCCCTAAGGACCCTCCATCTGGATGGCTGGGTGCACACCCCTATGCAGGTACGTGCAGTGTGTGTGCTAACAGCAGCCCAAGGACACTCCATTTAATGGTGACGTTTCATTGGCTATCTCTTTTCAGCCTGAAATTTTCTCTCTCCCTGTCTCTCCCCGGTCCCCAACCTCTCTCTTGTCTGTCTCTTCCCAGAGGGTATGAACTGCATGAACAAAGACCATGGCTGTGCCCACATCTGCCGGGAGACGCCCAAAGGTGGGGTGGCCTGCGACTGCAGGCCCGGCTTTGACCTTGCCCAAAACCAGAAGGACTGCACACGTAGGTAGATGGAGGCAAATGGGTCAGACATCCCCACGCGTCTCCTGCCATTGCTTTGTGGGGGGGTCTGTCCAGTCTGCTGGACGCAGCCCAGGGAGGGATCTCAGCCCCTTGGGGTGGAGAGAAAGGCTCAGGGCTCCCGAAGGGGCCTGGGTAGGCATGATGGATGGGGCCATGAACCCCAGGCCTGGAGTTTTTCCACTTGGCATAACACTACTGACACAGCCCTGGGTCTTATGTAGGGCCCTGTATGATGGCTCTGCCAGTGCTTCTGGTACCCTCATCCCCTCTCCCCAACCCCAGAGACCCATGGGCCCTGAGCTCACGCTCTTCAGTGGGACTAGAGAGGCTATGGCCAGGGACCTACAAGCTTGGGTCTCTGGGGGACAAGGGCCGCCCTTGGTAACAGGATGGTATAAACAAGGAAAGGCGCTCGGTGCTGTAGGGCCCCAGCCCAGGCTGTGCTGACCTTATATCCAGGATCTAAGATTAGCACTTGCAGTCTCCCCCTGCAAGGCCCACTGGAAATGGTGCTACACTGGGAGATCTGGGTTGAATGAGGCCTCTGGCCAAAGGGGGCCGGCCGTTCCAGGACCAGCTCAGAGTTCAGCCTGCAGGGCTGAAATGTACTGCAGCCTCTTGATGTGGTCGTCCAGCTCCCCAGTAGGAGTGGGAGCCAGCAAACGAAATAGGACAGCGGCCGAACACACTCAGCGAGCCCCCAAAAGCCTGGGCCCCAGCGCGGCCTCCATCAGCTGCATGGGGAATGGTGGGGTGAGGCCTCTGCCCACTGGGCAGCTGATACCCGGATTGATGTAATGTTTGGCCTGTGTCTGCAAAGGGCTGAGGGAGGCTGGTGTGAGCAGACAAGTGCTCTGTACCAGGCCCACTTCCTGACACCGGCAATAGTGTGAAGGAACCCAGATCTGGCTCCCAGCAGGGCAGGCGGCCCCAGCCTGGCTACTGCAGTGGGAGCCTGAGGCTGACCAGCTCGCCTTAAGAAAATGGCCTCGCTTTCCATCCTTCATTCTGTGAAAACAGTGGCCCTCGTTGGTCCACCATCCTCAGTCATCATGACTCTCTCAGTGGTCATCCACTCTCCCTTAAGCGCCCGCCACACCTTTCCCCAACTCATGCCCTCCTCAAAAAGTCACCAAGGTCTTGAGGACTCATATGCATCAGACACAGTCCCTCTCTCCAAGGAGCTCATGCCCCAGCCCCCACTCAGGATTCATCCGTTCCCCAGCGAAGACGTTTCCAGTGCCCAGGTGTGGTCTGAGATGCGGCCCAGCCTCCCTCTTCTTTCCTGCTCTTGTCCTGCGGGATTGCAAAGATAAACATGTACACTGTCACCAAGGGCAGGACCACTCAGGGAAGTGCCCCGCTCCAGCTCCAGGACTCCAGCCAGGCCCTCCTGATCTCCCCACCAGATGGATTTCGTTAGCAGCAAAGAAACCTCCTGCCTCCTGACAACCTTCAGGACAGGAAATGAATGACTCCAGCTCTCCCGTTACCTCCCCCCTGTCCGTCATCCGAGCTTCCTCAGGACAAAGGCCACGGACAGGCACATGTGGAGTGGGCAGGCTTGTGGATGGGCTCAGTGGGAAGGGAAGCACATTCCTAAAGTCAGCAAGACTGGCTGACGCCTGATCTGGCCCCACCCTGAGCTAGGTGTGGGGGAGAGAGCTGCAAGCCACGCACAGAAAGGAAGTGGCCGGGCCTGACAGACTCACCACCTCGCTCTGTCATTCCATCTGGGACCAGTGCTACAAGGGGACAGTTTACTCAGAGAGCATCTCCTGAGGGGCTGACCTGGCCTGAGTGGTCAGGGACAAGGCAGGGAGGACCCTGTGGGCAGCTAAGACGCCCCTTACCCCACTCCGACAGAGAAGAGCCAAGCCCGTGCCCAGAACGTTTGGTGGTGAAAGAGACAGCTCCACCTCCCCCACTCAGTGGCCGGGTATTGCCAAGGTGTGTGGAGAGTCGGCAGCAACCAACGGGCCAAGGAATCGGTGGCCGCCTGGCAGCCCTCCTGTGAAGGGACTGCACAGAGAGCTGTCTATCCAGTCAGCTTTCGCTCCTCCTGTGTGGCTAATGTGGCAGAGTTAGTGTGACGTTAGCTCTGAGACGTCCCCTCTAGCCCTTGAGGTCACTTGAGGTCCAGGGAATTCTAGACGTGGAGTTGAACTGGATGGAGGCTGAGGCCTGGCCCAGCCAGCCTCGATGGACCAGCAGGACCACGGGGGCTCTGCACCAAACTCGCACCCCTCCAGAGCCCAGGACCCACTCCAGGGCCAAAGGAAATTTTCCCCATTCTCTTTGTCTTCCCAGAGTTCCAGGCTCCAGTATTTATTTCTATGTACAAGCTCAGCCCGTGAGGTCTTAAGATGCACAAACACGTCAGACAGGCCTGCATCCTCCTTAGGGTCACTTGTAGGGCACAGCCCATCTCCTGGAGCCCAGAACTTGGAAGGAACTGGCCGCGCTATTCTCACTGCCTACTCTTAGGCTCCACCTGCCTGCTCCCACATGCAGCTTTTCTCAGGCTGGGAAGGCGCGCAATGTCCCACCCAGTGTGGGCTCTGCCTGGGTCTCTCTCTCACCTGGGGTTTATGCTAAGCAGCCACCCCCTGGAACCCTGGGCTTTCCTGGGCAGAGAGATGAGCTATTTCAGAGATGACAGTGTGACTCCAGGCTGTCAGCTCCCCAGGAATGCTGAGAGAGGAGACACTCCTACGGAGCAGGGGCCAGAGGACTTTGTGCCTGAAGCCTCAGTTGAGTTTCCTGAAGTTGTTCTGCAGGTCCTTGAATGTCACCCTGGCAGTTGGGTCCCTCCTTCAGATGGTCATTAGCTCCCTATGAAAGAGGCAGCCTGCTAGAGCCCCTGGTCACTAAGGACAGTGTCTGGGACACCGAACTGGAACCATTCTCTTACATCCTCTTCACCAGACACCATCACTCAGGGCGGACGCTCCCTTGAAAAGAGGGAGCTTACCTGAGAAAGGTGGCGGCGGAACATGGTACCGGAACACTTGGAAGTCTTCACCAGGGAGTTGCCACCCAATGACTTCCCTCTGTGACCAGCCCTGCTCATGGGTCACCCTGACAGAACGTCATTAATTCAGACTCCACCAATGCAGACTTTTTGGCACCTCTGACCATGTAGTTGATCTGAGATTAATCTTTGCATATTTGATCATCATCAGGATTTTGCCCAAGTTGATTAAGAGTGTAGATAGAATTGTGGACCGGTGATTAAGGAATCCAAGAAGACGCCCTGTCCGCAAGGCCCTGGCGTACCAGATGACGGCCACCCTGTGGTCTTGCCAGCAGAGTGAAGCAGAGACTGGAGGAACCCTTCCCGTGGAGATCCTGGGCCTCCTTAGCAAGATCCCTCACCTTGAAAAGTGATAACAGCGCGTTTTCTGTTAAATAAACTTGACCTTATCTTTGCCCTACTTCAAACTGGCTCCTCTCTGTTCAGCCACCTTTTTAGCCCACCCAGGTCGCGGATGCTGTAGGACATTTTAAGATTCAGGGCTGCAGGGCACCAGTCCCTCCAGGCCTTGGGCATTGCAAATGATGTAATATGTTTAAATAAAAGGTCATTTTCAAAACGGAACCTGAGATGACACCAGTTTGCCTGCATTCTGTCTGTTTGGACGTTGCCTTGGGAGGATTAGAACCTTGAGGGGATAGAGTTTGAGATGGCCCCTGGGACTCGGAGAGAACAGACACCTGTGGGGACATCCTTGCAGATACCCCAAGACATAGGCAAAGGAAAGAGCTCTGCAAGAACTAAGGAAATGAGTGTCCCCTCTCCCCATGGGCCCCCCTCCCACCCCCCACCTTGTAGAATATTCCTGGTATTCATAGACATCTGCCCACTGGGACAGGCTATTTTAAAGTGTCTTCTGCAGCCCAGGAAGGATAACATTGTCTAGCTTATCCTTTTTTCAGCTAATAGCGCCTGAGTGCATCAGCTTGTGCCAGGTCTGCTCAAAGCCCAGACGAGCCAAAGTCCATTCTCTGTCCTACCCATGAGCTCGAGCAATCCCGTGAGCAATTCTGTCCAAGACCCTCAAGGGGCTGAGGTCCAGGGAAGGCATCCATATTTATGGACTGTCTTATGCCCGCGCTTCCCTCCCCCATCCCTTAAAAGAAGCCAGCCACACTGAGAAACTAATCGTTCTTGTTGTCGTTCTGTTTATACACACGTATGTACACTTTGGGCCTAACTAGTAACCTGTAACTATGGAAACGGAGGCTGCCAGCACAGCTGTGAGGACACGGACACGGGCCCCATGTGCGGCTGCCACCAGAAGTACGCCCTCCACTCAGACGGTCGGACATGCATCGGTAAGTAGGCACCTTCGCCGAGCACCAGCACCCTTGCACCACCCTGGCCCCCATGGGTTGCACCGTGGGGTCCTGAAGTCAACCAGCACCCCCCGCCCCCGTGTCCCGGTTTCCAAGACGGGAGCTTCAGGGGACTAAGAAAGAGTATCCCCAGGTACTGATGGGAAGCTTTCTATGGAGACTTAACCCGGGGTCATTCAGCCACTCGGGACCAAGCGCCCCTGCTTTGTGTCATTGCGGGTTTTCTGTGGGTCCTCATCCTGGACGTGGGAGGTGGTCCCAGGCAGGTGGTCTGTAGGGAGGAGGAAGGGGTGTGTGCCTAAGGTGGGCAGCTCCTGTTCCTGATGCACAGGCGTTTGCTCCCCTAACATGGAGACACACAGCAGACTCGTTTAGCCTCACAAAGGCCCCATTCGTTATGTGAGCTGCCCACAGCAGTCTGAAAACCAAGAGGTTTTCTCAGAAAACTGCTTTAAGTCTTCATGTCTAGAACACCAGAGGAGATGGATTGTGTGGATCCCAGGTGGGGTCTGGGTGTTTTTAACTGCTTTCCCTTCCTGAACTAACGGGGGGCGGGGGGGCTCTCGCCAGACTCCCCCTCCCACCTAGAATCCCTTTTTCTCAGCAACGCCCCTTCTCCTCAGCTGGTAGGTAGTCTCCATTTGAGTCTCAGGCGCTTCCTTCTTCCTTATGTTCAAGGGAAAGCTTGACTATTTGTGATTATCTCCTTTGCCATAATCACGAGCAGGCTCTTTTCCCCACTCAAAAAGAACAGCCAATTTTTAACTGAGAAAAAGGAATTTCAAGGTTGGTGTCCATCCAACTTTGTTCGTCCTCCTCTTTTCTTCTCTTCAATGTTGACATGCTTTAGAAAACCCACAGTAATCAGTCATCGTGATTTTTTTTTTAAGTACCCACTTCCTACTATCGACTTGGAAGATATTTCTTAAGGGACTTTCAAGTAACAAGAAAGGGCTTGGCAAGCAAGCAAAGCCATGAAGCCCAGCGTTGGCTGTCACATTCTGTCCCCTGCGACTCTGCTCCCTGGTCCCTCGGGGGTCAGGCAGAGGGGCTGGGCCTAGGCCAGGGCACCAGGGGTCCCATCCTAGTCCCTGGCTGTCGTCCCAGGTGCTGCCGCCTGCGTGGTTCTCCCCTCCTCTGTGTGGCCCCTCCTCTCCAACAGCCGTTTTGATTTCATTTTATCTCATTCCTCCTGCTTTTCTGGTGATGGTCCCTGATTGCCTGTCTTGTCTGATAACTGACGTTCATTAATTATTTTCAGAGCCAAAAGCCAAACCAAACCAACCAAAAAAAAAAAATCAAAGCAAAACCCGGTCTCAGACCAGTGTCTCTATTGCAGCCTGATCCCATCTAGAACCTCCTCTCCCGCCTCTCCCTGTCTCTGCTGTCCTGCCGGGGGTCTCCCAAGGCCCACGGCCCCCTTCCTGTCTCGTCTGCTGGGGTCGCCCTCGGTGTTTGCGTCTGCAGTGGAGCCGCCTCTGCCGGCCACTGGCCCAGCGCAAACAGCTGCTGGCCAGACACACCCAGCCTGGTCTAACACATCTTGTCTTTGTCCACCTGACTCATCCTTTCTGATTTTTTTATCTTTTAGTGTCTGCTGCATGTGGAGGCCCCTGCTTGGATCTGTCTTCTAACGTAACTCCCCTCACCCCCTCTTTCCCTCTCCTCCCCTTAGAAATCCTTTCCCAGACCCAGCTCCTGGGCCGTCGCTCCCTGCTGGCCAGGAGGTCCTTCTGTCTGCCTGCTCCCTGCTCCTCAGGTCCCCCCCAGGAGCAAATGTCTCTGCACATCTCCCATTGAGCAAAAAAATAAATAAAAACCGTGACCCAGCTAACCTCACGCGCTCCTCCATGAGAAACACCTGGGCGGAGCTTCTGCCCAGCGGCCAGAACGCTCCTGGCCGTCTCTGTCTGCACGCTCCTAAAATGACTGACCCCTCTTTGCAACCCCTTGTTGAGCACTTGAATGTATCGCTCTAGTCCTCTATAGACAAGCAGGCAACCAGCGCTGCCCAAATCGATCCCCTGGTTTTTCTGTCTATTTGATTGGGTCCTTGTCATGTGTGTGTGTGTGTGTGTGTGTGTGTGTGTGTGTGTTTGTTCCTCCGTATGTTTTGTTCTTAATTTTGCATGAGTGTTTGACACACTTTCACGCCCTTGAGACAGGGCGTCTGCTATCCAGGCGCATCCATCACCGGACCTCGCGGCCCTGTCCCCTTGTCTTGTGCCTTGTCCTGTGCCCGCCTCTCTAGCCTGAGCCGGGCGTCTGTAATGGCCTGTGTCTTCGCGAGCTCCGCGGTGGTGCTGTGTGCTTCTGTGGCCCACCGCAGATGTGTCCTGTTTGCTCTGACCTCAGCTGCCTCCTCTGTTTGTGTGCAGATGGGCCCTGTGTCCCATCTGTGTCCTTTTGTGGTCATCCCCTTCTCTTCCCCCATCCCCTCCCACCCCCCTGCCTCACTGCCTCTTCGCTCTGCCCTGAACACACCACCTTGGAGGTGCCTGGGTTTAGCCCCTTGGCGAGGACGCCACGCCAGCCCGCATGCTGTGTTGGCTTTGTGTGCGCCACGCCGAAAGGCTGACTGTCTTGGGCCGCGGGAAGTGGGCTGTCATTAACCAGTGGCTCCGTGTTTGTCCCTTACTTGTGTTTTAGAGAAGGATGAGGCTGCAATTGAGCGCTCTCAGTTCAATGCCACGTCAGTAGCTGATGTGGACAAGCGGGTGAAACGGCGGCTACTCATGGGTAACACTTTTCTTCCACTTCCTTTGTTGTCCTTGCACTTTTGTTCATGTGTGTGCGTGCGTGTGGCATGTGCTGGCGTGTCGGGCTGTGCGTGTGTGTGCGAGCGTGTGGGGGGGCGTGTGCGGGGCTGTCCGTCTGTGTGGCGTGCCCACGTGTGCTCTGTGTGAGTGTGGGGGGCTCCACTCCAGATGGGAACTCACTTTTTCCTTTTTAAAGTTTTTACCCTTCATCAAACACGTGTATTTCTTTGTGTGTTTGTAGCAAAGAACCCAGACCCCATGCCTAGTGACCTCTGCGTAAGGAGGCGTGTGCTGTGAACCCCCTCTGCTTGCAGTTAAGGCCCACGTTCGCAGTTAGGACCCCAGCATCAGCAGAGCAACAGTGAGACGCAGACACAAAGGAGGGCGTTAGTGTAGCACAGGCATTCCGACAGCACGGTCCTGATCCATCTCCTCACTCAGGGAAGAAGCCCCATCCAGGGAAAAAAAAGCCACGTCTAGATTCGGGAGCAGGGGGTCCTAGGGGTGTCCAGTACAACCTGCTCTCTTTGTGGTTGGGAACTCTGCTGCTAGGGAGGGGAGGACTGGTTAAGGTCATCTAGCAGGACTCAGCCCCTCCCGGCCGCAAGGCCGCCCATCTCCCTGGATGACCCCAGCCCGGGCCTGCTGGGCTGGCGGCCTTGGCCAATTTTTCCACGGTCCCCCCTCCATCACCTGCTTGCCTTGGGGAGCTCCACACAATGTCCGCTGCATTCTGAGCACTGGCTCTGAGCTGGTTCCAGACAGACTCTAGGGAGGCGCAGCTGGAAGCGCCTGGTGCCACTCAGGGTGGCTCGGGGGGCCTGCTGGTATGGCTGCTTCTGTGCCGTGAGGGCGAGGACGTGACTGCTCTTCCAGCGGGCTCTGTCTGCACGAAGGAAAAGCAAGTCTGCCTCCTCATTCATTCATGCCTGTTTCTCAGTTGGTTCCACAGTTCTGGGCGTGCTGGCCCTGCGTGGCACCAGCTGCCTAGGCCTCTGGAGCACGGCTGTAGGATCGCCTGGGATTGTCACAACCTTCTTGGTGGTGCTCTGGCAGGTCACACCAGCCTTGGGAGCTGTGAAGCCAGGCAATGCATTTCCCATGTCTCATTTGAGGAAACTGAGGCTCATTGGGGTGCCCTGACTTGCCTAGGGTCCCACACTACCCTGCATAGCTGAGCTTAGCCCAGAGCTCATGGCAGCGTGACCGTCTCAATTGTCAGGGTCACAGGACCATGGAGGTCAGATCCTGACGGCCCTGGAGAGGTCCTCCCCTCCATGGGTCCTCGTATGGACCTCACAGGAGCCCAGGCATCTGGGGAGGAGGGACCTGTAAGTGGGACAGCCTGACGGGTGTGGCCTTTCGCACTGCGGAGGCTTGAGGCCCGCGCTACCTCCTGGGGCTTAGAGGAGCTAAGGAAATCATGAGCTGGCTGACGGTTCACACTGGGCGGGACAAGCATAGCTCTGTTTCTCGGACAAGAACATGAAGGGTCAGAGAGCCCAGAGGACTCACCTCTGGTCACACAGCAGCTGGGGCGAGCTCAGGCTGGAAGCCTGCTGTCTGCTGTCTCGTTGACTTGGGCTGTCTGGGTTGGCCTGGGAAGGTTTGGAAATGGCCAGTAGGTGGGCTTGGAGTTCCCACCAAGCAGGTGTGTCCACTACCCTCCAGGAAGGTGTGAGTCAGCACTGTGATGGTAGGTAGAAGTGAATGATGGGAACCCAAGAGTTGCTGGTGCTCTGAGGCCATGCTGAGGCCCAGGCGGGCCCAGGCCCCTCAGGCCCACTTACTAGGAAAAGTAGGCACTGCTACCGAGGCCAGAGCTCCAAGAGCAGAACAGGACCAAGAACTGGGCCCCCAGGTGCCCTGTACTCTTCCCAGCAAGAGCTTGGTGGCAGAAGAGGGCTGAGTGCATTAGCAGCAAGCAGGTGGGTGGCTGGGTAGGGGGGTCGGGGGAGAGAAGGGCCTCTGTGCTTGCTTTTTCTGAGTCTAGTCAGTGGATGATGGACCATAGCCAGAGCCGGAGCCAGGTCAGGGAGGTGAGGGAGGCGGCCCCGAGAAAACAGCTATCCTCACCCTGGTGTGGGAGGCACATTTGGGGAAGCATATCAGGGGACTCTGTGCCAGGCATCTGGAGGGGCCCAGGGATGATGGTAGCCTCCCCAGTGTTCCCACCTCTCTGATTGTAGAAACCAGCCCCCTTAGAGCCTATCCCTCCCCACAGACAAAAGACACCTCTCTCCCCTACAATACTTAACACCTGGGGGACAAGGACCAACAGCCAAGTGCCCACGCCCAGAACTGGGTAACCATCCTCAGAGGCTTGCGAGAAAGGCGCTGTGCTGTCTGGAGCACAGCTGGGCCCCCACCCCCAGCCCCCGCCAAGAGCCCCTAACCCTTATCACCTGTCTCTTCTGAGGGCAGCCGTGTAGTACAGACTGACGAGCCTATTGGACTTCAAGCCCTAACTAGTAGCCCCCAGTGAGATGTGGCTGCTCCCAGGCTATATTAATAGAGGCAAGGAATGGAGAATGAGGGAGGTGACCAGCGCTGGTCAGAGCACCCCTGGGGCCACATGCTCAGAGCCAACCCCCATCCCCTTCCCCACGTGGAAAAGGCAGCCTAGACGGTGAGGGGAATCAGAGTTGGGTTAGCATCGTTGGCCTGGGGAGGGTGCACAGGTAGTTTATCCCAGTGGGTCCTGAGACTGGAGGGCCACTTGAGCCCTGTTTGGGGTCCTGGGAGGGGATGGGGTAGAGCGGGGAGGAGCTTGTTCTGTGGCCCAGGAGCAGATGAGGAAGGTGAGACACTGAGAAATCCCACGGCAAGGTCAGACCCTGGCCGCCTGGCTCCCGTCTGTGCCCTTGACCGCTGCACTGACCAGCTCCCCCGAGAGGACAGAGATGAGCAGCTGTGGTGAGGGAAGACTGGGGGCCCAGGAATGATCTAATGTGAACAGGACCCATTGTAGTCACGGCACAGGGTTCCGCCAGGGCAGGGCACGTGCGCGGCAGTCGCCTGGTGGCTGAGGTGGCCTGGCAGGTGTCTTCCAGCCCTAGAGACCAAGTGTCTCCTGTGCCGATGGGGCTTATTTTTAGGGTGGGTGGGAAAGGATTAAGAGGGCTCCCCCTCCCTTGGCCCTCCAGAAGTGAGCGGGGGCAGGGCAGCTCTTGCCAGGCGCGGGAGGCTCCGTGCGCCCATGCCCATCCTTGCCACTCTCCGTGGCAACCGACCACACGTCAGCAGCAGCCTAGTCCTGCGGGCCCAGGGTGAAGCCCCTTTTCCGTGTCTCAGAGGGGTAAGTGGCCTCCTTACCGCAGGCTTCGTGTTCCGATTTACCCTCCCCCAAGTCGAGCTGGAGAATTTCGGCTTCATATGCTTGTAGGCCGTTTGCGTCAGAATCATTTCAGAAATGTTTTGTGCCCAGACTGCAGAGGTCAGAGGTCCCTTTGATGTCTGCAAGTCGTTTCATTAGTAGCCTCACCTCTGATCAAGGCCAAGAGCCGGGACCTAAGCAGGAAACAGGACACAGAATGTATGAGCTAAAACCTGGGTCCTTTACCCGCATGCGAGCTTCTCAGTTCCTTCGTGGAACCTGGCTGCTCTTCGTTTACCCACGGGCTAGCATTTTGGTTACAAGGTTCCCAAGTCTGGAAACTCGAACGAGCCAGCACTGAAACCCGTAGCTTTGGGGCACTGGCTGCTTCTCTGTGGCTCCCCCAGGCTCCATGCCTGGCGGCACCGGAAATGGAGGAGGCCGTCTCTGTAGGAAGCCGGTGAGGACCCTGGGCTCTGAGGGGTGAAGTGGCTCCCTCAGGGCGGCAGCTGGTCAGGGCAGGCCTGGATGCTGCGTCCATGGAACAAGGGGCCGCAGAGGTAGGGGGCTGCAGGCTGTAGTCAACCTCGAGTATGGACAGATCAGAAACCTCCAGAGAGCTGGAGGGGTGGGGGTTGTCTACAGCACAGCAGCCTGGGGCCATTTAGGGCCAAATGGCCCTGCCCCACCCTTGAGGTCTCAGTTGCACCCCAGTAGTTGCTGTTTATAATTACCCGCAGTCCCTGAGCACAGGCTAAGGCAGTTACGTTTACTTTAAAATAAAGAGACCTCAAAGTGTGTAACCGATTTCAGAATCCCATTAAAATGTTTGGATGTGAGGGTTAGAGTGATAAATTTCAATTTTCTGGCTGACTGGTGTGAAATACCTGAGTGCCAGGCTAAGTTTGCCACAGGCCGCCTGGGGCCCCGCTGACAGCAGGCCCGATGAGACCCAGTGAGCCCTACCTGTGAAGCCCAGGTCTTTAATCAGCTCCTTTCCCCCAGGTATCCGTGGGTTAGATGCCGTGTTACTTTCCTGTTGCCGCTGTTAATGAGTTACCACAGTCTTAGCGCCTGAAAACAACACAAAGATAGTCTCTTCTGCAGGTCAGAAATGTGACTTGGGACTCACGGGGCTAAAATCAAGGTGTTGGCAAGGGCTGCTTTCCTTCTGGAAGCTCTAGGGGTGAATCCATTTCCTGGCCTCTTCCAGCTTCTAGAGGACCCCACATTCCGTGGCTCCGGCCCCTTCCGCCACCTTCAAAGCGGCACTGCATCTCTCTGACCCTGCTCCCATCACCACAGCTCTTTCTCAGACCTCCCTCTTCCACTTTTGAGGACTCTTGTGACCACATGGGACCCACCCAGGATAGTCTCCCATCTCAGGGGCCTTAGTTTAATCACATCTGCAGAGGGTCCCGGAGCATTAAGACATGGACATTTTAGGAGGTTGTTATTCCACCAACCACAGATCGTTCAAATTTGGGCTGGGAGGAGCCTCCCAGGTTGGCTGCTGTGAGCTCCACTGAGGCAGAGCCCACGTCTGCCCTCTTCACTGGCTTATCCCCCAGACCACCAATCCCCCAGCACAGGGCAGGGGCTGGAAGGTGCAGGACAGCCCGCCCCCACCCCCGTGGGTGGGCTTCCAACCCCCAGCCATCTGC